TGAAAATCCAAAATCTCTGTAAATGTTCATTAAAATAAATTAAACACATTTGCTTTTCATCAAATTATAAGGCACATACACACACAGTGATTATGGGCACCATTGAGCTCTGGTGGCCTAGTTAAGGAACTGTGCTGCCAACCTGAAGACACACAGTGTGAATTCACCTGGTGCTGCAGGAAAAAGAGGGGCAATCTTCCCCGGGGCGATTTGTTGTCTCTAAAATCCCACTGAAGGGTCAGCTATGGGTTGTTCCTAACTCAATGGTACATGAAAACAACAACAATGGTTCTTTTAAGAATCACTCTACAATGTGAAACACAATGTAAATAAACTTTGTAAGCAAAGCAATTAAAAAAATAATGTAAAATTGAATGTATGTGAATGATAGTATGAAACAATGGAAATGAAAGACTATAAACACCATGTATATGAATGAAATATAATGTAAGGGAACAATTATATGAAAACCAATTTTAAAAAGTTAAAATGAAGAAAGAAAAGAATCATACTACAACATAATACACTCACAATTTAAGTCCCAGTGTGGACAATGAGAGGGACACCACTTCCTCCCAAACAGCATCATTAATTGTTACATATACACTTTAAAACCATACTCACTTTTACAAAATTCATCTGGGATGGACCATGTATAATTAGCAAGGCAAGTTACTTCTGCAGGTTTAGAAGGGATGCTTTCAAAACCTGTGGCACAGTCATACCCCACGACTGTATCTGCTGGGTAGTAATTCTGAGAGATGTGAATCTTTTTGAGCGTTGCAAACGCGAATCTGGGTATAGGTGGACAGCTACCTAAAAAATGGTAACAAAAGGAACAACAAAAAATATCACCATATTTTACAATCTACAGTTAATTGTTTTACCTGATCCTTACATCAGTTTCTGTTCTATTTTGTTCATATTTGGCATTTGTGCGGGCATATTATTGCTATGGCGTCTACAATGTATGAGACACCCATACTTCCACTGGTTATTCACTAAATGTCCACGAAGTAGATTGGGGGTATAAATGTCACAATATCGATTTCTCAGATAATATGTTATTGGTTTTATGTGCCTTTGAGTCAAAACTAATTCATAGCTGGCCCTGCAGCAGCTCTTCAGATTCTTGAAGTGTCACGGGAGGAGAACGCCTTTCCTTTTCCCAAGGAGCTGCTGGTGGATTCAAACTGCCTGCCTTTGGGTTAGCAGGGCAGCGCTTTACCAACTGGGCCAACAAAGATCCCTTATCAGATAACACAGGTCCACTAAATGAAGGAAATATCTGGGTATACTGCCTGACATAAGGAGCTCTGGAGGGTAAGGGTGCTGTGTAGTGGTCTGCTAACTGAAATGCTGGTGGTTTGAGTCTAGCAGCCACTCCACAGGAAAAGAATTGGGGAGGTCTCCTTCTGCACAGATTTGCAGCCTAAGAAACTCCTTGGGGAGGGCGTGTCACCAAGAGTGTGAATCTCCTCAATAGCAATGTTGTTTCTTTTTTGAAATGACTGCGCAA